CAAAACTAGAAAAACAAAACATGGCTCTTTGCTCCTCAAACTAGGCATTTTTGTGTAGACAATGAAGAACATCACAAAGCACTGACAGAAAAGGGACTGGAGGAGATGAGTGGGAGTATAGACAGTGAGATCACACAATTCCTCAGCAGTACTTTGCTATAATGTAGTGAACGCTTTTAAGTAAATGCACTTAAGTTATTTTTCTTACGTGTTGTGGGAGAAGTGAATGCCAAGGAAACATTTTGGTGAGGATGAGATGAGGTTTTCTGGTGGATGGCTGTACCTTCTCCCATCTCACCTGCATCATATTGCCCATTACTAGTTCTGGAAGCCATGCTCCTGCCAGGCTTAGTAGTATTCTTGTATCTTGTCACAATGCTACCCACTCTACAGGGACTATTCTGTTTTTACTGTGGATTTGTATCTACTTATCCATAGAATTTAAGGTCAGAATGCAGTAATCTATTTTTGTGTCCCATGTAATGCAGGCCGTATTTTCTGCTAAATACTTTTTGCTGCAGATCAGATGCCTTGTAGCTGGATTGAAACATAAAATGTAGAGAGGCTTACCAATTACTCATTTAGATGTTCTGGTAATGAAGACTGACTATATCCCTTGGGTCAAAGTTCAATACTCCCTGTGTTAAGAAGACTGAAAAAAGATTGGATGTGTCAGTCTCAAGTTGTACTGAACGAGCACTGTAGCAGAGTGTAGGTGTTAAGTCATTAGTCAGGTAGCGGGTTAGTGGTTACAGTTTAAAACTGAAGTCTTGGCTGAGTTCTTACTGAAGTTCATTAGAACTTTTCAAGTGTATCAACATTGCAGTGCTGGTGAAAATCCATCTGTGCTGTCTGAATAACCGAGTATTTTCCTCCCCTAAACTCCTTTGCAGTCTGATTGTTTTTGTTCTAGATTGTGTTGCAGTATGCTACTAGAAGCAGCAACTTCTTCTTCCCAGCGATTCTATTTTTTATGGGGAGGCTGAAACAGGTATCATAGACGTATGTGTAGAAAGATGTTTAATGTGAATGGTTTCATATGAGTTTAAAATAATGTAAAGCAGGATACATATAAAAAATTAACAGTGAATGACATAGTCATTCCATAGTTCAAATGTCATTAAGCTCTCTGAGGCAGGGATTGCCTGGTTTTATGTATTTATGTATAATACCTTGTGCTATTACAAGGAAGTGTTCTGGCTTGTTTTTGATGTTGTTAAACAAAAGGAAAAAAAGGTATTGTACAACATGCTGCTGCGAAGTGTAATTAAGAATGTTTTGTTTTTAAAGAACTTTGTAAACATGCTTTTAGGTTCTCTTACAGGTAATGGTCCTGTTGCTTCTGTTTTTTCTAGCTATAATGAAGTTAGATGGCAGCATTTTCAAATCCTGATAGGGAGCTTCTCATTATATTAATCACCGTAGTACTAAGAGAGTAACTGAAGGAAATGGGAAAAAAAACCCAAACCCCACCACATTTTTTTCCTCAAAGAAATTAACTTTTCTGAATGTTTTATTCTTCTGTGAAATGAAAACTGAGCATCGGTGACTTAAAATCCAAAGTAATTTGTCATGTTATTCTTAATGGTTTGTTCTAGTTTTTTGTTTAATTCGGAAGCTTGCAAACTGATTAACTATGCCAAAAGGTGTTGAATAGTTATTAGTTTTTTAAATATGGTTTGATCTTGAAAATCAGCTGTAGATATCAACACTGGTCGTCAGTGGCTTATATTACATCTGCTCAGTGTCATCAAAGTAGAAGAAAAACATGACATCTTTGTAATGCTACTTCGCAGACTACAATTGTACTTCTGCTTACAGAGAACATGGAAGCTGAAGTACATAGATACGTGTCGTGGTTTAACCTCAGTCGGCAACTGAGGACCACACAGCCGCTCGCTCACTCCCCCCCCCGGTGGGATGGGAGAGAGAATTGGAAGAGCACAAGTGAGAAAAACTCGTGGGCTGAGATAAATACAGTTTAATAATTGACATAAAATAATAATAGTAATATAATAATAATACACAAAGCAAGCGATGCACAGTACAATTGCTCACCACCCGCCGACCGATGCCCAGCCAGTCCCCGAGCAGCGGCCCCCCCCCGCCCGCTTTCCCCCGTCCCTTTGGCCAGTTTGGCTGTGCCCCCTCCCAGCTTCTCGTGCACCTCCAGCCTTCTCAGTCGGTAGAGCATGGGAAACTAAAAAGTCCTTGGCTGGTGTAAGCACTACCTAGCAACAACTAAAACATCGGTGTGTTATCAACTTTGTTCTCATCCTAAATCCAAAACACAGCACTGTACCAGCTACTAGGAAGGAAATTAACTCTATCCCTGCCAAAACCAGGACAATATGATAATTATGTGTTTAGGTTTTATGAGTAAAGGTCCTATCTCGTGTCTTTTAAAGCATTCACTCAGCTTATTTGTAGTCTTTTGCTGTAAACAAGGGAGCTCTAATTTTATAACCGTGCCAGTCTATTTTTAAATTTATCATGAAGCTGTGGCATCTCAGACTAATCTAAGTAATAAAGATTCCTGTTGTTTCCTTGTCTTCAAGCAAGGAAGTTTAAAACAGTGCCTGTGGAAAAGTGATAATTAACCAAGAGTGTAAGTTTGTTTGTTATGCTACCTGCTGTTTAGTTTGCATATAGACACATTCAGAAAAGTTTATGGTTTCTCTGAGCACCTCTGCTTTATCTTCAGTGAGGGATCTGTTCAGCATTTCTGTGGAAAATATTTGAGTTTATAATGAAGTTTGTTTAAATTTAGGGGGAAAAAAACCCACCAAAACCCCAAAGCCCCAGAATATTTGTGTTCCATTTATTTACTGTTTGGTGTTTCCTATTTGCTCATCTGCTGTCTGTCATTGAACTGAAATAATTACTTCTAAAGAAAATGCTCCCAAGCAGTGTTCCAGGGTAACACATCATGAGCTCTCTTTCTAATGCTGTCACGTGTTAGCTTCATTAAGACTTCAGGGCTGAGAATTTTTCATTGACAGAAAGAATAATACCTGGTTCCTGCATGTGCTTGGTTTTAAATGCTATGAACAACTTTGTTGTGTTCATAATTGGGTACTGGAATAGCAATGTGCTTTAATTTTATTTGACTGAAAACAGATTACAATAAGTACATCTGTGATACAGTGTTGGTTGAGATTGCATTTTATGCCCTAGAGAAGGAAATAATTTATTTCTGTTACAAGAAATAATTTATTTCTGTTACAAAAATTAATTTACAGCAATTGTAACTAAGTCTTAGATTATTTTTTTTTTAAGGTACTACATTTTACAGGGGAAGTTACTGGAAATTAAGACTTTTCAAACAGTTTAATCCAGTATTTTGGAAGTAGGGTAGTCCTGGCTCTAATATGCATCTAACATACTCATGTTACAAGGTGTTCTTAAATACAGTCTTTCGAAGTAGTACTGACACCTCTGAGATATTTTACCAGAAGAAAAAAGGACAAAGAGATTTCTGTACACACATAATCAGAATATGAAGATTGTGGATACTTACTGAATGAAGATCACATTAGTTTGTCTAATTTCTCATCAAATCTGTTGACAATAACTGACTTCTTTTCAGTAGTAATGTATTTGAATAAACAGTTTCTATCCAATCAGTTGCTATGGCTGCCTGCACAGGAACTGTTTCATAGAGGTAACTTACAAGCTTTTGCAAGTAGTAAAGGACATTTATTATTTATCCTGAGTCTGGAATTGTAAATTGACGAACTTTTTAGATGTTAAAATTGTTAAGTGCAGCTTTTGGTGTGGTCTGTCCCCCGTTCATTTTTTATGGAGAGTTTATATCCCTTTTTTTCCACAGATCTACTAGAGCAGCCATTCATCTCACATTAAAATGTTACAGCTGATGTACAAAAGAATATTCTTCTGTTATCTTTCATCTTACCCTCTTTTAGATCTGTCAGCAACACTCCTTGGCTTTGATGTAAGCAGAGTGTTCCCTGCTGACAGGTGCCAGGCAGGTGGCATGACAATTTGACAAAATTATACTTTAATATTATACTTTATTATTGTTCTTGCTGTTTGTCGGTTGTGTTCGCTTAAGGAGTCTTACTGATCAGAATCATGAACTTTCTGGGCAGGAGCATCCTGTGACTGATGTTTTTGCATTGTACTATGCTATAAAGTATAGTGGTGTTTTGAGAGCGGGACCTTACACAAGCGATTGACTCATAACTGAGAATAGTATTAAGTTAGTGATAACTGGTAGTATTTTTGAGACATCAATAATTTTTCTAAAGTTAAGAGCTGTTACTTAACTCTGCTTTTTAAACCCTGGCCTGCTGAAGTCAACAGGAGTTTTGCCACTGACGTAATTTTGTTTTGGATGGAAACTCTTCAGGGCGTGTGCTGTTGCCGTGCAAGCAAAAGCTGTAGCACGTGCTTCTACAGAATGACTCCAAAGTCCATCTTTATTATGTCTATGATAGAACTTCTGCTAGTATTTAATGTTTGTAGAACATGACACAAGATACTACCTGTATTTCTACAATGCTAGAGTTCTAAGTTTTCTGGCATGTAACTTGGTCATTTAGATGCCATTAATTTGTGAAACAGAACACAAAGAAACAAGGAATCCCTTGTGTGTAAATGAAAGGAAGCAAGTATATTTTTGTATTGTGCATAATAATTTTTCCTGCTCATGTTTTATTTTCAATTCAACTTAGTTCAAGTCACTGTAATTAATGGATTAATGTGGTGGGTTCCATACAGTGACGCAGAATGTCTGGACTCTGTCTCTAAACTCTGACTTTCAAGGAGCTGAGCTTCTCTGAAGGCTCGTAGCCAGCAGCACAAGAAAATGATAATGTCTGCTTAATATAACAGACCTGTTTGAATTCTTCCTCACTAACTTTTAGCTCTTTTACCTAGGAAAAAAATGTTTTGGCAGATAAAACAGACAAAAAATCTGCCTGATGTGTAGTTGTTTGGGGTTTTTTGTGTATGTGATTTTTCTTATTTATTTTCAGTCTACTACGCGCATGATAAACTGGATGATTTCATCAGTACTATTAACAGCCATCTACAGCCTTTGTTTATGCAGATCCGGAAAGGAATGTCGGAAGGTGATGGGAAAGCACATTATGCTTTAGTAAGTATGTGATGTGCTGCCATGGTGTGGTTTTGTTTCTCATGACTAGTGCATGGATAGCAAAGGGAGCCTCCAATGTCTCTCCAACTTAAAATTAACCTTTGAATAACATGCCAATGAAAAGTCTGCACACCTTCCGATTGTAAATTGGCAAAAAAATCTAGCTGTATCTGTGCCTAATAAATATAAGGCTGCCCTAAGTGCCGTCTTTGGATGTTAGAAAGATTGAGTTACCAGGGTCCTTTTCCTACAGTATATCTGTAATAGAACTGCTATTTAGAGAAAACAGAGAGAATCTAGAACTATAGGCTGCATGTGCCAGCAGGCTTCTTCCTCTTGGCGGTATCTTGTGTGGTTTATGCGGGGCTGTTCCACTGTTATGCTGGCAGCTGCCGTAGAAGCTACTTGTAGGTAGAACACGGAAGTGGGAGGATAAACTGCCAACAGCCTAGGTGCGTGGAAATGGAACATGGCAGCAAGGACTACAGCAGCGTCCTATTTATTTAGCATAAAGATTGCTTAAGTGCTGAAGCGAGATTTCTTTTTCACAGGAGGCTTTCTTTCTCAAGAGGAATTTTTAAGCTAGAAGACATGGAGAGCCCTCCCAACTTTAGTTTTCTTTTTCTCTTACTCAAAAATCAACCTAGCATAAAAGGGTTGCTATGGAATGGCCTATAAAGTTTCCCTAGATGCTCTGAAATGTGCATGTCAGAGAGGGAAAGTTATATAGTAATTTCAAAAGACCATACAGGAGGTATTCTAACATTAGCTGCTGCTTTTAACCTTTCTGGGTCATTAAGTTGAGCTAGTAATAAATAGCAGTAGCACGTGCAATAAGAATATGAAATATCAGTAACTGTTTTTCAAGTGAAACAAAAATGTGTATTATAACATAGTTACTGCTACTGTCCAGCACAGTATCCGGGTGTAATATCTTTAATATTCTATATTAGTTCTATAGGGGGAGGTGGGATTGTTTAAGAGCTTGGAGTGGACAGAGGCAGCTGTGGAGAACATGTGGCTGGAAGATCAGGGGTTGTAAAGAAAGGACTCGAGTACCATTGAGTGCCATCTTTAAGGAACAGCCTCTTTCATGACACTTAAAGAAATGACATTTCTGTTAATTGTAAGATGATGTATTCTTTACCCCCGAGGATCTTTTACAATTTATGGTGTAGAAATACAAAGGCAATCTGATTTCAGTTTAAGTATTTTTTTTTGGTAGGTGAATTTGGCAGAAACTGAGATAACAAAAATGGCATCTGACTATACAGAAAATGAATTAGAATTGTTCAGAAAAACAGTAAGTATGTCAGTTATTAGTTAGTAAATCACATTATTTGTGAAGATACCATCTTAAAATGAATGGAAATGGAAATGAATGGAGATGTGGTTCAGGAACTAGTTGCCATCTTACCTAAGTTTATCCCAAATCGAATGGGAGGGTGGGGATGGGAGTATATGCAAGTAATGATTCTCTGTTGAAAGTCAGTTACCGGTATACTGAAATCCGAAATAGGTGAGTGCTCCTTGGAGTTAGTGACTTGACATATCTGCTTTTAGTTAAACAATCAACTTTCTTCAGGATTTTCAGTTGTGATTGCTGAATTTTTCACTGGCTTCAGTAATCTAGTAATATACAGTAGATTTTAATGCTAATAACATACAAATTGGATTTGCTGATTTGAACAGAAACATTTGTCTGTTGTTACTGCTTAGCCAATTAATTCTGTGTTTAACAAACTACTCAGAATGCTGCTTTTTAAACAAGAAAACATACACTTGAGAATCTTTTAAAGTTTTAAATAGGACTATTGGGCTGAGATTCCAGGACATATGATGTCTAATTTCTTATCAACAACCACTAATGTGAGTTGTGATCATAGCTATGTATCTTGCATGTTTTAGTGAATTGTTCTCATCGTGTCTTGAACTTTGAGGACTTAATTTCTCCAGCCACTAGACTTTTTTTTTTTCACACTCCTGAAAATAAAATTTTCTGTATAAACTGGAAAGAGAGGTGTATTGACTATTCTGTGACAGCTGCAAAAGTCTAATCTACATGGACAGTACCCACAGATATCCCTGCCCTCTCCTATTATTGGTGAAGTACCTATACAGCCATGTCGACGCTGCAGAGATGGCACTGTTGTGGCACATATTACTACTGGCATAAAAACTCTGCATGCTGCTTTGTGATAATGAGCAGCGGGAATGTTTCCAATGAGAGATTCTCTGAAGATTAGTAATACTGCTACAACCTTCAAGTGCCAGGTAAGTTCAGCAGTACTAACAGCTTCAGAGTGGACAAACTTACTTTAGTAGTGAGAGATTTTTCCTCAGAAGAACCTTGACAAAAAGCAGATAAAAAGAAACAGATCTGTCACCCCTGAGCATGCTCAAGGGTCCCTGAATGCAGCTTCATTTAGGCAGCACTGTACAGTTCTATTTGTGGAAATGTTTTCTTGGCAAAGATTAAAACTGTCAAGGTAACAATGATTGTTTCAGCTTTTGGCCTTTGTTTTACAGTTCTGGTTCAAGCCATGTACTGTAGTATCTCTCATATGTATGGATCCTAAAAAAGCTGCACATTACTATAAGGCATGTCTATCTAATTGCATGGGTTTTTTAATAGTTGAAAATGTTTCTTTCTGTAGATGGACCTAATCATTTTATCAGAAAATGGCTTTGCCTCTTCTACAGATATTTTAAACTTGGCTGACCAACTTAAGACAAAGAAAATGAAGAAAAAGGAAGCGGAACAAGTGCTGAAAGTTTTTGTGGAAGATAAGTGGCTCTCTGAGGTAACTGCTGTATCTTTTCAAGTGTTCATATTCTAAGAGGTCCAGCTATTATTTTCTTACAGATGTGATGGCTGAAACTGGAGCTGTTCTTTGATGAATGATGGCAAAAATGGTTTTGTGGGGCCTGTGCTTATTGCTGCTCCAGTGATTTTTGCAGAAAAGGTAGTATGTTTACAAGGAAAAAGTCCTTGGGTAGGTCTATACAGGAACATGGTTTCAGTTTTTTGTACCTGAGTTAGGTGAGTATGTGTGTACAGCTCTGCATTGCGACATACAGACATCCTTTGTACAGAACAGGATGGCATACTTAAACTTGGAACAAGAGCTGGGGAAAACTTTTCAGGGTGATCAGTGCTGTTATTTACATTTAGAATATCCTGAAAAGCAGTGAGGCCAAACATGTTGAAAACTCCTGTACCAGAAACGCATGGGCTACTGTGCATGTTTTTAAATCTCCTAACTTCATGAGGGAGAAATTGAGATTAATTTACCATGTGGACACTGCAGTTGCTTGCCAAGACAAGCGAGACCTCAATCCTTTCTCTCCTGGATTCTTTGCATCATAGATCTCCAACCTGTTGCCACACATTTTCTTATGTTAGAGTGATTTAGCAGAGATTTTCAAAGATACCTCAAGCAGTAAATACCTAGATTTTGCTGAAAGTCAGTAGAATTTCCGCTAATGTGCAAATGGAGGGTCCCAAAACTGTATGTCTTTGTTAAGGAGAGCATGCTTACTCATCTGTACCTTCTATGGACTAGATCTCTGTTAAAGGTGTGAGATCTTTATTCTGATCCTCTAAACAAATTTATTCTGCTACTTCAAGAGTATTTCGGCTTTGCATTATGTCAGTGTCAGCATATTAGTTTCATGATGGCAGAAAAAAGTGGATGTCAAATACTTGCTAGCAGGTGGTTAGAAAAGTCAAAAAAAGTAAAAGGCATTAAAAGAAATTCCTTGTCTTGTTTCCTTAGAGAAATGGAGAATATACTCTGCATACTCGCTGCATAATTGAGATGGAACAATACATTCTCAGCAACTACCAAGATGTGGCAAGGAAGTGTAACATCTGTCACAGCCTTGCCATCCAGGTAACATTTGTTTTATTACCTCAGTAGGCATCTGCTGATGTACGTGGTCATAGCTGAAGTTTGCGATACTTTCCTTTGAGTATTGGGCAGGCCCCGGAAAATTCTGGTCTTGTAATCTGGTAATGCTGCCCATGTATATGAAGAAAATCCTTTTATTTATTTTTTTTTTTCAGTGTAGTTATTTTATCTTCTGTCTTTGCACAAAAACTTGTCTTGGAGCAGTATCTCCAAGTATAAACTTGGAGAAAGAGAACTCACCCAATGAGGAACGTTATTGTCCTGTCTTGCTTTCCAAAGCCAGCAGGCTAGAGATGAACCCCTTATCCTTAAATAGGCATAACAGTTAAGTGTTGGCTATCTTATCGTTGGATCTTACAAATAGCAGTCTTCATGTGACACGTTCATCTTTGGTCCTGGGATTTTGGTTCAGGAACTGCTTGTGTCTTGGACTTCAGAATGAACATGTACGCTTATATATAGCATGCTAAAGCACTGTATTTTGATAGCTGGTAAGTTACCAGTTAATCTTGCATAAGTAGTTACAGCCTGAACTCCTACTGCAAAACTACTGCAGTCCCTTGCTCCTTGACCCTGCATCTTCTCATCTTCCAACTAACATGCCTCCATGTTACTGTTTCCATCCCAGTTGGTCTCCTTTATTGCACCCAAATAGCTCAGTGTTGTTTGTCGTTCAAGCTAAATTTTATCCATATAGAGAAACGGTATTTCCTAGTTTCCAGGAAAATACCTTCTTTTATCATTTACCAGCTTTGACTTTTGAGTATCCACCAACTGTACTATGTGAACCATTCTTTGGAATAAAGCATTGCATATCTGCCGCCCTTTGTAACAACTTCCTGTTAAACTGAAGGACAGGTTAGAAAGATTTTATTATCAACACTTCTGATTTCAGAGCCAAGTATGTGAATCCTGTGGAACTGGAATGCATTTACCTTGTGTCAGAAAGTACTTCAGAGCTCAGACTGAACCACGCTGTCCGCAGTGTAATGATTTCTGGTCTTGCGACATTCCAGGTACCAAGCAACCTATTTTAAAAAAAAATTTAGTGTAATAATACTAGAGAATGGACTGTGAATCACTCAGTGGCACTGCCTGTATTATTTATAACTGTAGTTGAGTATCAGTTATTTCTGACTTCAGTTGTATGTTTCAGACTGTAAACTATACATGGGCAACACTGAGCCCTGAAAGTGCAAGGATTATGCCTTATGGTCACTAGCAGATCCTCTGCATAGCATTTCTAACAACAATAAAGTGTGTGTGTGGGGGGGAGTAGGGAACAGACACAACGCATGACACAAACTTCTGTAAACACTGAGCTTCTAAGAAGAGCACAATCTCTTCAGAATTCCTCTATTTAGCCAGGGAAATTAGACATTCTGAACAGGAACATAGGAATATATAAAGCGTTTTAAAAATCTGGAGGTTATACAATATCATCCTTTTTTTGTGTCACTAACCTTTCTTTTGTTTTCTTTACAGGTATGAGTCGGATAGACTCCCAGTCACCATCAAAAACAGGGAGAGCAGAGAAGAGCTTCATTCTTGGCACTAGATGATGCTAGTGAAACTTGCTTTCAGTGAAATCTTTTTTCCCCCACTCTTGCAGAATAGCCAGACCGTATTGTATTCATTAGTAACAGTGCATTGTTCAGTGTACTTATTTTTTCCTGAAGTTTTAAGAATCTTGCAATAAAGCTATCATTGACCTTTCTGTTCTCCTTTTTCACAGTTACGCCTGTTGTCCCTTCGTTAGACACAGAAAAGTTTATCTGACATTAGGCCAGGTCACAAGCAGCTATGCTCAGTAAGAGAGGGAATATTCCCACAGTCAAAATGATTGGGAAGGAGTAGGACGACTTTTGGGGCAGTGCCAGCTTATGTCTGCAAAGTGTGGAAAAAATTACCATCTTAAGATTCTTTTTGTTTTTAGTATTGGCACTTCACTCTCCAGTTTTATGTAAGGATGCTTTTTCCTTTAATAGTTACTTGAAAAAAAGACAAGGACTAGATATTGCCAGGAACCAGAATGGAATAGCAGCATATCTTTCCTTGGTAGAAATGTGTGACACTGCAGAAGGCAGTGTCAGCAGTTCAGCTGATGGTTAATCAAAGTATGATTAAGCTTCAGTTTATTTAACTGCAACTAAACTATGGATTAACTACAATTAATTATGTTCCTAGGCCTTAACACTAGTAACTTTTTCTGTATAGGAGACTGGTATCTTGCTTCGTGTTAGCTTTTTTCTTTTAACGTACTGAACCTTCGGGTAGCACCATCCCTCATTGTTTATGTAACTCCAGTTTTCTACTGTTACTAAATCCAAGTAGAAGGTAACACTAACCTGGTGTTCCAAATACAGTTTGAAGCAGAATCCTGGCAGTGCCCATATATAGAGCTGTTTCAGATGTACACACGCATACAAGATGACGACCTAACAGATGCTCTTTATGAGTTCATATTAGAAACATCCACACAAAGAAAGTGGCTGCAGCATCTTCTTTCCATTTGCCCATCCAGATTCTTTCACCATGCTGAAGCAAGAGTTTGTTGGTTTTGGTTTTTTTTAATCCACCTCTAACCTCTGGATAGGGAAGAACATTCTCATGCTTAAAAAGAATTCTCTTGTGAGAAGATGCCAGATGCTACTTTTTCTGATTTTTAATTCCTGTTACAATGCTAACAGACTTTATGCATGCTTCAGAGCTATGACCACCAGAAACTGACAGAGAAGCTGGTATCAAGCGATCGTACATAGTGCCAATATTTAACTGGAATAAAGAGAACCTGTCCAGGCATCAGAATACAGGACTGAAATGCAGCCTTTCTGAAATTGGGAAATTTAACTAAGTCAGGATCTTCCACATCAACCTATAAAAAAACCAAAACAATCATCAGTACAATGTCTTTACTCAAATATGATTTGATAAAGTAACATTACTGATTCTAAAATTTCAGGCAACTATTTACCTGACTAGTGTTGTGAAGCATTTGGCTTTCATGAGGGTACAGGTTTTCTGAATCTTGTGGTGAATACAGACGGATATACTTTCTTCCAAATACCTGTATATATTACAATAAACGTTTTCCATCTGTCATTAACATGCTCATTATTGGAAACTGTGGGCCATAGCTGGCATTTAACAGTAAAATATACCCGATTACAAAAAACATCATTATCTTTGTTAGTAACAAACACTGCTATAATAAAAAGTTAAAACAAATCAGACTATTGGAATTCAAGTGCCTGTTCCATTGGAGCAGATAAGAATTTGAAATACCAGAAAATGCCTTTAACCAAATTACTTTGAATTCAAAGTTCAAGGCACCCAATTTATACAGTGTTATTTGGGCTCTATGTAGCTAGACACTAATTGGAAGAACTGAGAATAAGGAGGTTGAGACTTCAGTGCAGTTCACATCAGCAGGCAGTGGTATCCGCACGGAGTGACTGCTAAGCTTCCATATACTCCTTTAGCTCTTCTTTCTGTGTCATCATTAAATGAGTTCTTTAATTGGAGAGCTTAACTGAAAGACTAGAATTCATAAGGCAAGTGGACTGACTGATGTGAACACTACACCAAATTGCAAGTTGTCAGTGCCTAGAATAAACAAGTCAAAGCCGATTCCTGCACTGATAGCAGTGGAATGCCCACAGAAGGCATAGGGTGAATATTCATGCTGCTCATGCCAGGATTCAAGATTTCTTCAAGGGCCAGGCATGATCGTATTTGTTTGGAACTATCACATTAAAGGCTTAAGTCGGTACCCTGACTAACCACAGCACCCTGGCCTGGCATTATGATACCAAACTGTTCCTAACCAAGCTGCTTTTCCTCTATCTTAACGTCTCTTCCCATATAGTAGAACAGGATTTCCTGAAATTTTATCAACACTATGCTAGATGTTTATAGTTTGTTGCTTCAAGGACAGCACATAAACACATTCTAAAGGCTGGGCGAGTATCAATGTATTCCTGCCCTGTCCTACTCTCCGCTATCCCTGGTTAAACTACTAGAGCATCGATCCAAATAACTATGTCCGTGTGTTTTTCTGACACCTTCCATGCTGCAAAGGGATTATGGATATTAATTAGCTCTCTAAAGAACCAAGTGATATTTTTGGTGATGTATGGAAGTAAAGAAAATGGTGGTTATTGCTCCAACAGCACATGTTCGGAATCCTTGAATTTTTTCAGGGGATGGGTGTTACCTGGACTGCTGTGAGCTATTAATGGCTCCTTCCTTCACTTGCCTCGCTGGGTTAAGGCCTTGTATATTGCAAGGTTGAGCGCCCAAGTTAATGGGCAACAGTCTGCATCTCCAGATACTGCTTTCCTCATTAAGGGAAATACTATGATCTCTGCAGCAGCTACCACCCAGCCAGTAGGCATCATTCCACTTTGTTACTTGTACTTGTGCCTTCCTGTACTCCACAGCCACAGTTTAAATGGCATCAAGAGGCAGGGCAGTTTTAATTGAAAACTGAAAACTGCCAGATCACCTGCTGTTTAATTACAAAGACTCTTTTACAGCACTGGCAGATAAACTCCCATTCTTCAGGCAGAAGAATACAACTTCTGAAGTTTGTATGGGAAGTATCTTTTCCCAGTCCAACAACTACTGTAACGGACTTCCACACCAAAAAATTCCCCTCAAGCTTTACATAGTGTGTATAGCAGGATACTTTGCTTTCAAAATGCAGTTGTGTGTGTGTGTGTCAGGTGGGTTAGCGGGGAAGAGAAATACCATACATATGTAATTGCACAGCAGTTGTAAAAACCCACTTTAGGAAGGTCTGAATTAAGCCTCAGTTCCAAATGAAAACACAGGTTAGCAAGATGCAACTGTTAGGGACAGAAGAACTAAGGCTCAACCCATAAATAAGCACAAGTAGAAAGTATTCAATGTCATGATCCTGCTGGAAAATGTCTGAAAGTGTAAGCCTTTTTTTTTTTTTTTTTAAAGAGTCTGATGGGATGGAATAAGAAATGGCAATCTCCTTTCAGTAAGCAAAAAACCCCTCAGTGTTTGAAGATGTACAGTTGTCAAGTGCTTGGACCAGGAATACATCTTTGGACTTGTACAGTGCTTACCACAAAGGGCCCCAGTATTTTACTGTGTCACTCTGCACTAAAAGTCATCATCAAGAAGCCTACCAACAGTAAATCACTTAGCAGCAATGAGGTCACAAGTGCAAATATTACTTCATCTGACTCTCAATGCATGCACAAATAGATATTTTACTGGTTAACCTGAAGTGGATTAAAATATGCACCTAAGTCCATCCCAAAATCTTGCTGTTCCACAGTAGGAAGTTACTTGGTACGTGCTGGTAGGATCCAGGTTCTTCTCAACTCTGTTACAAATTCCTTGTGTGACCTTGGAAAAGCTACTTCTTGTGATTTCCATTTATCATCTGTAAAATGAGGGTAAGCAATGGCCTATCTCAATGAGGAGTACTTATGGCCTACAAGATTACATTGAGTATTAAGTTGCAGTAGTGACAAATGCAATAGCATAGCAAAATAATATCTGCATATTCTCTATCCTTCAATTGTTCATCAAGTTGTCTGCTACCCTTGTTTCTAACACTCACATATCATAAGCATTTTTTCTAGCTATAGCATTAATGGCACGTGTAGAGTAAGTAGAGTACAGACCTGGGCTAAAAAATTTTGCTGGGGATCCTGATGAAGAGGTGAGATAGTGCCTTCTGGACCAAACCAAGCGTTAATGGTGATGTCGTCTTCTTCCCCTTCCCCCAGGCAGCAGTAGTCAGGGATACTGATATCCTCTTTCAATTCTGGGATCTACTCCCATAAAGAAATAAACATTAAAAAGGGTATGTGCTGACTTGCCAAAGGTATGTAATTCATAGAACAGAGGAACAAGGCTTGACACAAAGAAAACAAATGACCTGCTTGTCCAGCAAAGGCAGGAGAGAAGTAGCTGAACTGCTAGGAATCTGCAGGAAATCACAGAATCGTTAAGGTTGGAAAAGACCTCTAAGATCATCGAGTCCAACCATCAACCCTACACCACCATGCCCACTAAACCATGTCCCTAAGCGCCTCATCTACACATCTTTTAAATACTTCCAGGGATGGTGACTCAACCACTTCCCTGGGCAGCCTGTTCCAATGTTTAACCACTCCTTCAGTAAAGAAATTTTTCCTCACGTCCAATCTAAACCTCCCCTGGCGCAACTTGAGGCCATTTCCTCTCGTCCTATCGCCAGTTACTCGGGAAAAGAGACTGACACCCACAATGTCCTCACACCTTCTGGCTTAGCAAGCAGATTCTGTTGGATGGAGAGGTGGGAGAAAGAAAGGGGTTTCTCATTCTTCAGAGACCTTTTGCTTTAGCAGAAACCAGAGAAACCCACAAGAATAAGTAGGTTTGCTGTTCATGGAAAGGGAGCGCCTGATCATTTATACACTAAGCTTGCTTTTCCGTGAGATTCCTTTTTACGTCTCCCACCAACCTAACCTCTGGTTAACTGGAATGACATTTCAGAATATGCTGAATGTATCACCACTGAAGACTGTTTCCTGTCCAAATCTCTTTCCTGACTTACTTATTCTTTGGGGAAATGCTGCTTTCCAGGTGATATCCCTGTAAGTATATGCTACATTGTACCGAAACAGCACTAAGATTCAATGTCTTCACCCCTGAAAGGGTTTTGTTTCCACGCCTTTCAGCCAAATGGAACA